ACAAGCTGGAACGTATTACTTTCTGCGAATGAGGGTGTCTGGAACTCTTATTCAATATTTGATCTCACTTCCGTTTCAAATACAACTGGGCGTGCGTGTGTGTGTTTGTGCGACGTTGAAGTGATTAAAAAGGTCAATCCCAGCATAGTGCAGTTGTTCGGTTTTCCGGTCCCCTCTCGGACGGAGGGGAGGGGCAGACTCGATCTCGCCAGACCTGGCGCATCAACAGGCCGAAATGGATTCGGAAATCCGGTCGTCAGCATCGTGAGTCACTCTGGGTGAGAGAGCAGATAACGTCGTTGGCGCATGCCAGGTCTCTCTCGAAGCACAGAAAGAGCTCTAGTCGCTCTGGGTCGCGTAACTAGGCGACGGACTCATTGTCGCCTTTTCCCACAATCACATGCGTTCACCACATGTTGCCATTCCGCTTCACTTAACCTTGCTTCGCAAAAGCTAGTTTCATCCAGGCAGTTTCGACGTCGCTTGAACTGGCCTCCTCATCATCTCCGAGGGGACTCGGACCCAGCTGGCTGTGGTGCAGCCACCACTACGCCACCTCGTCGCGAGTGCCATTCGGTCACAGAACAAAAGTCAACTTCAAGTCGATCTAAGCCTCCCCACATCACACTTCTCTATTATCGCATTGCCCATTAAACTCGACGACGCTACTTGTATCCGAATTAAATAGTAGTCTGAGGCTGTCGGTGGATCTTGAATGCGCTACTTCTACTCTTCATCACGTCAAGCAAGCTGGAGCAGCAAAAGTTACCGATAGCCTCGAAATACTACTCTATTAGGATACAAGTATTGCATGAAAATGGGTCTCATAAAAAGTTTCATAGTTTGATCTTACTCGAATGCGACGGCTAATTCGCGTTGTTCTGCGGCTGTTTCACTTCAACGCCACTTATACACTTGCATGTGAAATGCGAGTCCCTTAAGACAACACTATTGTGAATACTTTCATTTCGTATGAAATTGCATGATGAAGAGATTGGTTAGTTGAGCTCACCGGAAGACACCGTTTGATTTCCGTTGTTCTGCCGAAATTTTTCTTTAATACCGTCGTTTAGGTTGACGCAATCCACTAGACATGCCCACTCGGTTTTCATCCTAAACGAGAAGGGCTTTCTCCTGGACCGTGTCAACATGAAAATCACATCAAAGCAAGTTGGCTGCGTAAGGACCCGAATAATTTGATAATACACCTTCATGCGAAACGACCGTCTCTCCAACAAATAACCTTGTCGACCAATGGCGCTGACACATTTACTTGCCACAATAATCCCACATTAGATGAGTGTGATCTGGAAGTGGCCCAGCTTGCCTCGAAATTCCCTTTCTCCTTTTGGCGAGCAGAAATCGTGGCATACTGGTGTGATCGTGGTGGTATGCCGCAAGTCCCAGATTCGAGTCCCATTGCGGTGCTGATGGAACTAGCTCAGGCGAGTTCGAGACTGCAGAAGAGCCGAGATGAGAATAGCTTTTGTGAAGCAACCAAAAGGTGGCGTCTACTCATTCGATCGTGCCGTAAATTCAACTATCACTTGTCCCTCTCCTTACGAGACCGAGGATGACAAGAATTCTCTTTCTTGGATCGGATCTTGAGCCAATCTAGATCGCTTAAGGGGAATTTCGAGCACAATTTCACAATTCCACTCAGCCACACAGCTACACTTGTGTCTGTCATTACATTCGAAGTTGCCATTTGTTTAGTGAGTTTGTATTACTATTAACTTATGAGTAGTTCTTGAACTATAACTTTTTAAGACCTGTGGATAACGTTGAGATCACACTCATTCAGTTGATTCATAAACAAAGCTATGGTTATGAGAGATCCTGGTTCGCTTCGGGAAAACGGAGTGAGGCCTGGTTTGTCTTGAAAGTCACATACATGACTAGCTGACAGCCAATGCGGCATCGCAACTATGTGGCTTTATGCCTGTGTGACTGTGCTGTTGTGTGAATGTGAGGCTGTGACTTTGTGTGGCCCTGGTACGTGCGCCCGATTAGATTGGCCCCATAGTCTGCCAGAGTCCATACCACTTTTATTCTCTCTAATCTAAAGCTTTCTAGCTCTCTCTTTCTCGGTAGCTCTAGGTCTCTCTCTATCCATCT